ATAAAATTCCCATTTTATTATAAAGTCTACGATAATGAAGTACTGCATCTTTTAAATGACCTCCTCTTAATCTTTGTTGCGTTGAAGGTTATTTTCGACCACTTTTTGGCAAATATTGTACCATAAGTTAACGAATATTGATTTTCAAATGCTCAAGATTTAAAGGTTTATTCGCATTAACACGGTGTTTCGGATAGCCTTACCAAAAAAATCCAACGGCGTCAAATCGCACGATCGCGGTTGTCAACTGACATCGCCAAAACGCGTGATCTATTCAGGAAAAATAATTTGGTAATAAAGCCATATTCCATATTTTTGTTGTGCGGCATATGGCACCTTCTTGTTGATACCACATATTGTCCAACTTCTCTTCTTAAATTGCTGGCGGAAAAGCGTCTCGGAATTGACAGTGACAGCCGCGCCGTTGTTCAAATAATCATACAATACAATCATACTTCCCGACCAAAGAGCGCACGGGACAATAAGTTCTTTTTTGTTGGTAATGGCTTATCTTTAATTATTCGAGGTTTCACAGAGCCACCAAAATATGACAATTTTGTTTACTTACGTATCCTCTTAGTGGTTCAGTCTCTTCAAATTTCAATAAAATATTACCAATTACATGAGTAGTTGGACGATGACTCGCACCCTAGCGTCCCCTTAAAGCACGCAACGTCATCATGATTTTTTAGTGGGTTTTAACAAGTTATGCGGTTGTTAAGCGATCAATTTTCAAAAATGCGCTACTTTTAGCTGAAACAAAATATCATAGCTTAATAGGATAACCATTTGTTCGTTCTGTGGACATCCCAAGTTGGAATTCAATTCGAACAAAGGTGTCTTTAAAAAAAAAGTCTGATGAGGAAGCGTGGTAGTTTCCGAAAAAGCAGCTTAAACATCTACCGTTCAAAACTATTGTTATAATTTTTTCCCTATTTCAAAAAATATACGGTCTGAAAGAGTTCCATAAAAAAATATTTTTGTTTTGACAGTTAAGCTCGACAGATGCCAAGGCATCCACATAGTTTTGAAGCCATCAGATGAAATTAAATATTTCTTAGAAATGGCTAATTTGTAAAAACCAAAAAATTACTCAAAATAGTTGGCAAAAACGCTAGGTTTTTCATTATTTCTTACACATAAAACGTGAGAAGTTTTAAACTTTGGTAAAGTTTTGAAAGACTTTGAATGCGAATGATAGAAAATTCGGGTATTCCAAGTTTTTCGATTGTCAGAATGCTTGACTTAGGATCTTTAATTTGGATTGCAATTATATATTTTGGTTGTTGAAAAATTCTGAAACATTGTAAAAAAATCCATCAACATTAAGCATTTTAGAAAAACAAAGGTTTAATAGCGGCGGCAGTGCCTCACATTAAAAATCCATCAGCCATTCAGAAGCGACTTAAAAAACTTTTTATGGGAAAAACATCAAGGCGGACACCACAAATTGGAAGAGAACTCCAAAAATCGTGTCAGTGACTATAACATGCCTCCCTTTTTTCTAGGAGTATATTCAAAAAAACGTCATGTAAAATGAAAACTAAGTGTTTGTGTAACTAACACATATAGCTGAAGTACATATATAAAGCACACATATTTATTTAGGTGTGCGCCCAGATGAGACTGACAGATGACTAAAGTACGTTATCAAAAAATGATATCAAAAGCCAAAAAGGTTACATGAAATACACGAAATTCAACAGCGAAAGCAACCGTGAATTGTGGGTGACCCCTTAAAGCTCATGAAACAAAGAGTCGAGCATTAAAAGGACGCCTCGTATAAATTTATTATTTCCTTGCTTTCAAAAAGACACCACAAAGATTTTCCTTGCTGCGGCCTTAAGAAACACATAAACCAGTCAAGAGAGCGAGCAAGACAGATAAGTTGGAGGGGATATCGATTTACAAAGTCTCAAGCTCAGGGCAAAAAAATTTAACAATCAATAACAGTTGCCAGTGGGGAAAAGGTAAAGAAAGACATTAAACGGTCTTAAGTGAAAAACAGCATAATTGCTACTGGCAGTGGACCATGAGCTGTCAAATTTGAAATGCAAGCGTTCTTATGGGAACGAACGAAATGGCAACAACCCGGCCACACGGCCGCTGTTGTTTGTGCATTGATGTTGCTGGAGTCAAAATTCAAGGAGTATGCACTGGATTACCAATACTGCTTAAATGATGAATTTCAAAAGCTTCTATAAATTCCTCATTATTTGAAGTAGTACATAAACAAAAACATGAGATCTTAAAGGTTTGAAAAACAACATCTATGAATACACAAATTTCCCTTCAATTTGTGGGAAGAAGATATCTTATGGAAAAATGAAATATATTTTAGTCTAGAAAATGCTGGGTAGAATACGCGTATACCACAGCAACATTCAACCTTCAATTTGTGGGAAGAAGATATCTTGTGGAAAAATAAAATCAATTAGAGATATATATTAGTCTAGAAAATGCTGGGTAGAATACGCGTATACCACAGCAACATTCAAAAAACATGCTACAGGAAAAATTTCCCATATCCAAACCTATGTACGTTTATCCCATAATTTCTTTTTCTTCTTTGCTGGCTTAAACAACGTTTATGTAACTATAAACGAATTAACAGCGCCACTCATTTCTTCCTTTCACGGTTTAACGAGGTGTGGAAATACTAATTACAGCCAGGTCCATCTCCACCTGGTCTCTCTAACGAAGTGAAGGTCTTATTTTCCTCTGCTTCCACTGGGCAGTACTGGGTCGGAAACTTTCAAAGCTGGAGTATTCGCATCCATATGGATCACATGACCTAGCCAGCGTAGCCGTTGCTTCTTAATTCGCTGAACTATATTGATGTCGCCGTATAACTCGTACAATTCATCGTTCCTTTTGCGGTATTCGCCATTCCCAACTCGTAGAGGGCCATAAATCTTGCGCAAAAGTTTTATCTCGAAGACTCCTAACGCCGACTCATTAGATATTGTCATCGTTCATACCTCCGCACCATATAGCAGGACGGGAGCGATGAGGAATTTCTTGAGTTTGGTTTTCGTTCGTCGGGAGAGGACTTTATTTCTCAATTGCTCAGTCCTAGTAAGCACCTGTTGGCAAGAGCGATTATACGCTATATTTCCATGTTGACTTCACAGCTTCGAAGTTACGACTGTCACACAACTTACAAGAAGAAATAAGACAATCCTGGACCAGCTGTTTAATGTTGTTTGACTTGAATTTTTCACAATTTTCCAACGGGGTACTCACATTCTCAAGCAAATATTCCTTGGAATTCCGAGACTAAAAGAATACTACCCTATTCTATATATGTATTTTTGTATATAGCTATCGCTGCCTCTTTCATCATACGAAGATATATGTAGATGTCTACGCTCCTACCATTCGAGCTTGTGGTCCGTTGCCCATGGTGTTCATTCTGTTTTCAGCTTTATGACTAGTAGAAGAACGTCTACCTGAACAGTGCAGTGAGAAGATGCAAGTAACGAAGTGTCCATTCGGACGATTGAATTTCGGTAATCCTAATGGCAGGCAAATGCTTGTGCTCAGTGCACGTGCGTCAAGAGTAGCTTAAAGAAAAGTACTCTTCACTCACTGTTACACATATACAAATCCACTTGGATGTACGAGGTGTGTTCAAAGAGTATCGCGAATTTTGAATTTTCGCGGGTTACGTATAATCGAATTTCGATTTTTTGTGGCCTTATGTTGGTACTTATGTCTGTCACTTAGGCCGACAAGCTCGGCCATTTTGAATGTTCACTTAATTGTTGACAGCTGCTTGCACGTGTTTTGGATGGTCTTCGATTTTTACCTATTCAAAAAAATGGATCAAAGAACCTGTATCAACGAAATTAAGTGCGCGGATGCATCCCGAATGTTGACTGTGGCATACGGAAAAGCTACCATGGATCAAAAAACATTTATCGGTGGTACAAAATGTTCTCAGAAGGCCGAGAAGATGTGAACGACAAAGAGCGTGCCGGACGCCCGAGCACTTCAACAACAGACGAAAAAATTAATTGCTGGGGCGTGGTGCATCATGAGTTCTTGCCACAGGGTAGAACGGTCAATAGGGAATATTACCTGCAAGTCATGCGCAATTTGCGCGAAGCAAACCGCCAGAAACGCCCGGATTTGTGGCTTTTGCACCACGATAACGTTCTGCTCCCACATCGTTGCTTGTGCGCGACTTTTCGGTCAAAAACAACACACTAATGATGCCGCAGCCACCCCCAGTATTCCCAGATCTGGCCCCCGGTGACTTTTTCTTGTTCCCTAACTGAAGAGGCCCATGAAAGGATGACGTTACGCTACGATTGACGAGATAAAGACGGCATCGAAGGAGGAGCCGAACAAGATAAAAAAATGACTTTTTGATGTGCTTCGAAGATTGGAAAAACCGTTGGCATAAGTGTATAATATCTCATGGGGACTACTTTGAAGGGGACAAAATAGATATTCATAAATAAATAAATAATTTTTGAAAACACACGAAATTCGCTACATTTTTTGAACACACCTCTATGTATATGAGCACTATAAAAACGACGGCCCCTAAACAGGATTGCATATACGTAGTAGGTATGAAATATTAAAGAGCTTTTCGAAGGGCAACCAAAGAATTTCGGCAACCAAAGAATTCTCGTGCGACCTTCGCTCACCGTCGAGCGTGATAAAGAGGGATGTGAAGTGCAAATGGCACCTGCAGTTGAGGGTCATCTATAAGAAAAGGAAAATAGAAAGAAGTGACATGAAATTATTGTCTTCATTACAAATATATATAAGTAGCAGTTACGGCTATCGAAAAAGATTAGAAAACAAACAATAAAAATAGTTGGAAAATTATAAATTAGCAAAAAAAAAGTGGTTAAGGTTACATAGCTTTACTAGTCTTAAACTTGATATCCACTTTCCTTGTGAGCAAAATTTTTCATTTGAACTTTGCGTAATTTGTTAATCGAGAAAATGGTGACGGTTAACAAATTTTGTAATTCGTCATATGCATAAAATGTATTTTTAAAATTTTCTAAATTATTGTTAGTTCCTTATGGGAAAAATGCAATGAAATATTTAGAATACAGAAACAAAAGTAGTAAGTTTTAAGTTTCAAAATTTCTGGAGTGAGGAATAACCCTTTCCTTTTTTCTTCTCAACAGGAAGAAGGGTTTATATGAGAGAGGCATAACGACAATCTGCCTATGGCTATTCGACTATTTATCTAAGAGGGGATTAACAAAAGTTCGGTCAATTGGTAAATCTAAATCTAAATCAAATCCTTTGCATTTACTTTTTAGTCTCCCTTTAAATTTGGAAGGATAGACTAAAATGGGGACGCGAGATAGCTGAGTAATTTATTGCCAAATTTTACAAGGAACAATTGCACCGTCTTTACAGACGATTTCTACGTGGTTCCGAAGTTTCTATATCGGACATTTTTCCGTAGAGGGCGAACACCGAAAAGGTTGGCCAAAATATTTCACTTAAGACGTCATTGTTGCTTTTGTGAAGTCCAAAATTGACGAAGACCCACCAATGACAACAGAAATGATTGCTAATGAGTTGGGCTTGAATGACATGGGTGTATCGCGAAGTTTGAAATGAGGGCCCAAAAAGAGGCTGGAGTGCATTTTGCTCAATTTTTCGTAAACAAATTTGAAAAAGGTCAGTCTAGCAAATTTGGTTAAGTCGTTACTGATGACGAATCTTGGTTCGATAAGTACGATCCGGAAACGAAACAGCAGTCCATGGTGTGGAGCCAAACACGAGCAAACCTACCCTTAAAATCTAGGCAACAAAACTCAGCCGCAAAGTAATGATGTCAGTTTACTTTGCCCCCATCTGAAATCGTAGCTACCATTCCACTGGAATAGGGTCAGACGGTAACTGCGAAATGGTACACCAAAGAGCGCTTACCAAAAGCTTTCAAAAATTTGTTGGAAAACAGGGAGAAAGAGCATTTGCGGCGCTTCCTTTTACATCGTAACAACACGTCAGAAGAGAGAGTGGGACTCTGCTGAAATAACGAATATTTTTATTGCGATCTCTGGGATCGAAGAAATACGTCCAGTACCATATTCTCCGAATATAGCACCATGTGAGTTCTATTTATTACCAAAAAGTATGCAAATCCGCCGAGAAAAATCTTTAATAGCAACAACAGCAAAATCTTTAATAGAGATAATTAATGCGGTTCATACTGAACTTGATAAGTTTAAGAGCAAGATTTTGAAAACTGTTTTCATAAGTGGATCTGTAGGCTTAAGAAATGCATTTGTTTGAGTATGCAACCCTGCACCAAAGCCAGAATCTACCACAGGAGATGTCGCTGCTGCTAGTACAATACGTGACTCATCCCTATTGGGAAGGGTCCTGTTAATCAACGATCCGTTACACCTTCCACCTTCCGTGGAAGGAATAAAAGGCCGATGTTGCCGTCCAAAACTCTTCTTTTTTTGCGGGACCTCAGCAGCAGCAACATCAGGTAAGAATAAGTTTTAAGAAACCCCTCTTCACATGTACAGCTGCCCTTTTATTCAAAATAAATCTGTGTCTAACATCAACTAAAGATTTTCCTTCTTATTCTTTATTTGTTGGAGAGGGTTTTTATTTCTTTTTCAGCTTGAGGATTGCCTGAAGATTCGGCCCTGTCTTACGATCCCCGTCTCCAGAATCCAGGAGGAATTCTGGCCCGTCCATCCCGGCACGAATAGCATTGAAATCTGTGGCGATTATATAGAGGAGTTGCAAAAGGACATAGATTACGTCAACTGGTTTGTATGTACATATAAAAAGGCTTTGTCTTGAATGACTGAAGGATAAACTCACAGCCTGAAACACCGACCTTAGAGACCTGGGATTTGGTGATGTGTGCTGCGTATGACGCCGAGGCCAATTCGATAAGAAACAATACAGAGAGAAAACAAATATCGCGTAAATAATATCATACAGAAGAACTCTTCTACTTTGATGGTAACTTAATCTGACACCACAATTGATGCTGAAGTAGAAAAGGCATTTCAGAAAAACACGCATGCGAGCCGTCACTATCATTAACACTATCACAATGCACCGTTAAGTGCATGCGAAACGGGTCCATGTAACCATAAAGCTGCAGTAGAACGTTAAGGGTGACGGAGCAAGTTTGCGTAAAAAGAGTAAATATAGGGAGACTAAAGTAAGACCCATATTTAAGTAATATAGCAGCGATATCCGTGGTTACTTGAGGATTCCACTGCTGCAGCACATTCTACCAATTTTGTGCTTGCATTATTTTACTTTATTTCATATATTGCATTTGAAAGAGACTTTCTTACAATTTAAGATCGTTTCCCTATGCTTTCGATAAAACATTTTGAATTTTATGTATAGAAAACGATTTTTGGCTCGAAATTCATATTAATGATATTTATATATTTAAATATAATAACAGCGTCATTTATATCATATTGACATTATATTTTTATAACTTTCGTGAACATGAACATTTATACTGACTTGATTGGAATGACGGGCTAAACTAATGTGTCCATCTGTCTGCCCATCTGAAAATTTAAATATCTCGACTTTGAACACTATCTGGGCTCTCAGTTTCTGGATATATTTAAATGAAATTTTGAACATGTGTAGTAATTTTTTGCCGGCGCTAGCGAGATCGGACGACTGTTGATTCATGAAATCCCAATGCTAAGCACCAAAACTAAAAAAAAACTGAACTTATTTAGCACGCACTCTGCAATTTTTGTAATTTTTTTTTCCTTTTTTGTATAATGTTTTATTGAATTTTTCCTTTTTGGAAACTAACAATAATTTCGAAAAACCTGGAACTAGTTAATCATTGCCACTGTATAGATTAACAAAGTAAGCAAAGTACAATAAATTACGAATATAACGTATACTTGTATTGCATATATCATTAGGGATACCAAACAGTCATGTTAAAAATTTAACAAAAGATATATCATAAAAGATAATCTCAGATAAGTTATACTATCATGCAGAGCGCGACTCCGATGTAGAATAATTGGATGCGGCAGAACTCTTAGTCACAGTTCAAACGTAAATCCTTTCTCTTTGATCGCTTAGGGTAGTTCTGCTGTAATAATTTTTTAGCTAGAAAGTTTGGGTGGTTAGATAACCTTAATGTGTAATTTTTAAGCTGTTTCTCTCTTTCCTCGGTGAGGGTTTTAATCCCGAGATCGTTGTGAATTGTGTAGTTTTTTATATGCCAAGGGGCTTAGCATATTGTTATTTAGGTCTTAGGCTGCAGTCTTTGAATTTTATCTAGGCTATGTTGAGATGCTGAGCCGAAAATTTGGATCCCGTACGTCCAAGATGGCTTTATAATCATATTAATAAGCATATAAAAGTGGATTTCTAGACTTAGTTTGGACTTAGAGCCTACAATCCAGTGCAAGTTCGCAATTTTCAATTTGGTTTGAGTAATCTTTTTGTCTATGTGGTTTTTCCAGCTGAGTCTTGTATCCAATGTAACTTCCAGGTAAGTAACGAATTCTTTTTGAGGTATTGCATCCCCATTGATAGAGATTGAAGGACAAGTGTCTTTTTTTTATTGATAATGAAAGCCTTCTGAATCGAGCGACTATAGCCTCTGAGTCATTATTTTGAAAAAGACTTTTAATTCTACAAAAACATAAGAAACAAAAGCAAAATACTTTACTTCATAATTTATTTGCGAAAAATTAAAAATATTTAACGTTCAGTTTCTTTGAAATTTCTAGAAGTTAAGGCGCATTCACATTCAGTTATTCACTCTTGATCAATTAAAAAATATGTTGCTTTTCATAAACACGGTACAAGAATATTCAAAACACTCGCTTGACATGCAAAACAAATAACGGTATTTTCGTTACCAAGAGAGGAATACTGGGGCGGCTCCTAAAGATTTTCCGCTGTAAATAATTGCAGGATTCTAATTTTTCACGCACAAAATTTCATGTGCGGAAATTTTTTTTAGGTTAGAAACGAATTTAATTAAAAAATAGTTTCCATTAATTTCTATGAAATTTGCTTAAATTTAAAACGATATATAAGAGTGCGATGGACTAATATCTCGTGCAATATAATATTTAATCCGAAACCTTTTATATTTTCAATGCAAATTTACCTGGGTTAAAGAAGTAGGGTGTTAACAATAAAGAAAACTATATATACAAATTGTTTTACAAACTTTTAGGTTATGTTCTCTCTATGAAATATTTTGACAAAGTAAAAGCGAACACACGGTTGAGGCGTCGAAGTGATACATTGTTCACTTTGTTAGGTCAATGTTTTGTTTCAATTTCATATTCATAACCGACAAGTGGTGTGGCATGTGCGCACTTGAAAGTGTTATTTGCTGATGCAACAGCTGCAGATATGTAAAATACTCTACATACATATATTATATATGCTTGTTAGCATATTCGACACTACCTCGTGTTGTTACGGAAAAGGAAATTGCAGTAAATTTGCAACCTCTTTTGCTTAACCCCTCCTTGAGCTGCTTCAACGTAACTAGTTTGGTTCAGTTTCTTATCACTGAAGTCATTTTCGGTTAGGAAAAGAACAACAACGTAGTGTAGAATTATTTGCATTGGTACACACAAGTTCATATGTATGGCAATATGTTGTTAAGCGCACAAGTGACTCAAGATGTTTTCAATTTCACTGCAGGATCCACAACGAAGAGTAAAATCAAGGATCAGCGACAAAATTGTAACAACGAGACAGTATCAAGAACCATAAATACATAAAGAAAATATACCAAAAGCTTCAAGAAACATTGACAACTCTGTGGGAAAAGTTACAAGACGGCAATGGGCGTCAAACGCAGAAGGAAAATGGAAATATATTCCAAATAGCTACATTACTGAAAATATAAAGTGGTAGTAAAGGAGCAAAGTAAAGTTTTAGGATAAACTGGATTATTATAAATACTTTTATTTAAAGGAATATTTATATAGTTGGCGTTTTGCAGCCACTGAAGCGATCTGAGGCCGAGCTGCTCCTATTTGTTTTGCGTCTTGATGTCTATCCAACGAGTGGAGGAACCTACAGTTTACTCTTCACCGCCTCTGAACGAATGATCGCTTTGTATGAGGGGCTTTTATTTCATGTCTGAAAAACACTCCGAGAGCTTTAGACTCTCCGCCGACGGGTTTTTGTAGGTTGGTCGAGCCAGAACTCGAATTCTGGCCTTCCGACTGTTAGTATGTAATGCTAACCACACGGTTATTGGGGCCATATAATATCCTATTCTTCTTTATTGACGCCAGTTGGAAATAATAAGTGAAAGCAGATCGCCATCTACTTGATCTTTCCAAAGGAGTGGAGTGGAGTGGAGTGGTCTTCCTCTTCTTCTGCAGCAACCGGCGTGTGCTGCGACGTATACTTTCAAAGCTGGAGCGCTATCTCTTCATTAGCTGAACTATTTCCATGATACAGTACAACTAATAGAGGGTATATATAATAACATCGTCTGCGGTATTCGCCGTTGCCATAAATCGTTTGCCAAACTTTTCTCACGAGGACTTCAAGGCTCGTCATCGTCCACACACCATACAGTAGGGCGTGAGTGATGTGTTACTCGTAGAGACTTTACTGTGCGGTATAATATAAAATCTATTGCTTAACGATTTTTGCCTTCGAATTCGCTTCGTACTCAAATTATTTTCCATTGCTACGGCGTCATCTAAGCTGGTCATAGACTCGGTTGTGGCAATGTGTCAGTTGAGTTTTTGTTCTGGCACTAATATAAAGATGGGCCCTCTCTCTTGTATAAACTAACTCTGATTGATCAGGTAGCAGCACGGGAATGAGGGGCTTGTAGAGTTTTGTCTTTTATAAGCAGAATCTCTTGTGAATAATGGAAGGCATAAGCAAAAAAAAATTGCGACTTCCTAAAAGAAAACCAATTTTTTTCATAATTTTGGTCATGAATTGCGCATTTGTAAAACTTTTCATCGGAAAAGCTTCGACAAAACCGGGTCACCGAATTGAAAAACATTGTCTTGAGAAAAACGAGGTTAAAGTTTCACTTACCGAATTCAAATTCTCTGACGCGTCGTTACAGATATGCGTGTAAATTCCAAAATTTTCAGAATAATTACTTCAATACATTAAATTTAAAAAAAGCTGCCCAAAGGGATGGGAGAGTTGTAGAATAATTTTGAAATTT